AGACGACTTTGTATATTCAGCTGCACACACCGCGGTATGTTTGGCGTTTCAAGAGGGAACAAATGCCGTCCTTAATATTATTCCGGGGTTTTTTTCAATTTGAAAGTCTGGTTTCTATGATTGTTAATTAACCCCTATCCTGTGTATTAACAAGCATTATATACCTCACTTAAAAAATCCAGCCATCTGATTGGTCAAAATTGCATTCATAGACTTTAACTATTCCTGTAAAATTCCCGGTAAAACTCTGAACCCATGTAATAGTTCTAAAAATAGTTCTAAAATCCCAGTTGCCATGGTTACCGGGAAAATAGTTCAGTCTTGGTGAAATACCCATAGGTTCCCATGTTAAAAAAATGGTTTGAGCGATCGAGCATACCGTACGTGTGCGAAGAATTGGTTGGTATTTTCATACAAGACAAGACAATTCCAAACAAGACAAAAATGGCTGAAGAAACTCTCCCAAGATTTCAACTTATCAAATGCAAGACTCGCTGACAGCAAGAACAACAAAAAGGGTACATCTAATTATCCATAAACATGTTCGTTTAGTTGCTGAAAATGCTTTTGACGAGTACCAGCATAGACGTAGACGAAAATAGATCTAGTACTAGTCTAGGGTGTCTGATCGCGCACCCGATGTTGTGTGCTAAAATTCTTCCCATAGAGATTGCACGCAATGCAGTCTCTATGCAGTCTACGTGCATTGCGCGACCATGCAAAAAAAGTCAAGTTTTTTTTTTCAATTCGAGATTCAAACCTTTATCTGTTGTGATCCTGAAGGTGATACTCAATAAGTGAGGTGTCATATAAAAGCGCAGGTTTTTCTCCATATTCCCCACAGGGCCGACCCACCCCCAAAATTATAAAAATATCTTGCTTAGACTATACTCTCAAAGATACACTCATAAAAAACAACCGTGCAGATAAACTAGAGAAAGGCCAAGGTGGTGTCATAAGTTGACTTTTTTTTTGGCATATAAAAGTATTAATGACTGCTTTAACCCTTACTGTACTGGGCTATTTTGAGCACCTCGTGACTCGGCCGTCGAAAGTCCAATGAACGCGAAATTTTGCATGTTTGTAGATATTTACGTAAGGAACAAGATGGTATAATTAGTTTTTTCCTAATATGAAAATTTTTGTCGTTATAGCCTAATTAATTATGCAAAATGCTAATTTTATGCATTTTACAGAAAACTCCTCATATTTGTCTGTAGACTTGTGAAGAATGTTGAAAATGTATTTGAATCAATGTTTCCTTCATCTCAAATTCATGAGGTTACATTATTTTTATGATATTTGAAAATGCATAGGCTAATTTGCATAAATTATGAATACGCATTGATGAATATCAAATCTAGAAATATATAGGGAACTAGAATCATCACAAAAATTGTCAGACTCCACTTTTTGAATGTTAATTGAAACCTATTATTCATATGAAACTTCTTTTCTAACACAAAATAGTTATTTTGATGTAATTAATAATGATAATTTATGCAAATTTGATGCGATTTTCAAATAATTATTTTCTTATTAAAATAGTAATAATGATAACAGTAATAATAACAATAATAATACTAATGATAAAAATAATAATGATAATAATATCAACAATTATAGTTCTTTGTGTCACATTATGTCTCTATATATGTGCATCGAAAGGACTTTGATATCATTTGGCCTATAGAGCACACACAAACCATCCAAAAAAATATGGCCGTGTAACCTATAGAAGACGGAAAACTGGAGGCGGCATCACCAAAAGTTATACGTGTGTAGATTATACCAAGATACACCTCCATACAACATTTAAAAGAAATGCTTCAAGGAATGATGCAGTTAAACTGCACCCTAGAATGCAAGAAGTCACCTATCAGAATATGACCTTTGACCTTATAAAAGAGGGAACACTAGAGGCAGCATCACCAAAATTTATAGGCTTGTTGATCATACCAAGATACACCTTTGTTCAAAATTTGAACGAAATCCCTTGAGAAATGTGGCCTATAGAGAGCACACAAACCATCCACAAAAATATGGTCTTTTACCCTATAGAAGACGGAACACTGGGGGCAGCATCACCAAAAGTTATAGGTGTTGAGATTATACCACTATACATCACCATACAAAATTTGAAAGAAATCCGTCAAGGAATGTGGCAGTTAGAGCGCACACAAGAATATGACGCGGCGGCGGCGGCGGCGTAACGCTGCAGAATCCAAAGTACCCCACCGGCATACTGCCGGGGGATACAATAAGACGACTTTGTATATTCAGCTGCACACACCGCGGTATGTTTGGCGTTTCAAGAGGGAACAAATGCCGTCCTTAATATTATTACGGGGTTTTTTTCAATTTGAAAGTCTGGTTTCTATGATTGTTAATTAACCCCTATCCTGTGTATTAACAAGCATTATATACCTCACTTAAAAAATCCAGCCATCTGATTGGTCAAAATTGCATTCATAGACTTTAACTATTCCTGTAAAATTCCCGGTAAAACTCTGAACCCATGTAATAGTTCTAAAAATAGTTCTAAAATCCCAGTTGCCATGGTTACCGGGAAAATAGTTCAGTCTTGGTGAAATACCCATAGGTTCCCATGTTAAAAAAATGGTTTGAGCGATCGAGCATACCGTACCTGTGCGAAGAATTGGTTGGTATTTTCATACAAGACAAGACAATTCCAAACAAGACAAAAATGGCTGAAGAAACTCTCCCAAGATTTCAACTTATCAAATGCAAGACTCGCTGACAGCAAGAACAACAAAAAGGGTACATCTAATTATCCATAAACATGTTCGTTTAGTTGCTGAAAATGCTTTTGACGAGTACCAGCATAGACGTAGACGAAAATAGATCTAGTACTAGTCTAGGGTGTCTGATCGCGCACCCGATGTTGTGTGCTAAAATTCTTCCCATAGAGATTGCACGCAATGCAGTCTCTATGCAGTCTACGTGCATTGCGCGACCATGCAAAAAAAGTCAAGTTTTTTTTTTCAATTCGAGATTCAAACCTTTATCTGTTGTGATCCTGAAGGTGATACTCAATAAGTGAGGTGTCATATAAAAGCGCAGGTTTTTCTCCATATTCCCCACAGGGCCGACCCACCCCCAAAATTATAAAAATATCTTGCTTAGACTATACTCTCAAAGATACACTCATAAAAAACAACCGTGCAGATAAACTAGAGAAAGGCCAAGGTGGTGTCATAAGTTGACTTTTTTTTTGGCATATAAAAGTATTAATGACTGCTTTAACCCTTACTGTACTGGGCTATTTTGAGCACCTCGTGACTCGGCCGTCGAAAGTCCGATGAACGCGAAATTTTGCATGTTTGTAGATATTTACGTAAGGAACAAGATGGTATAATTAGTTTTTTCCTAATATGAAAATTTTTGTCGTTATAGCCTAATTAATTATGCAAAATGCTAATTTTATGCATTTTACAGAAAACTCCTCATATTTGTCTGTAGACTTGTGAAGAATGTTGAAAATGTATTTGAATCAATGTTTCCTTCATCTCAAATTCATGAGGTTACATTATTTTTATGATATTTGAAAATGCATAGGCTAATTTGCATAAATTATGAATACGCATTGATGAATATCAAATCTAGAAATATATAGGGAACTAGAATCATTACAAAAATTGTCAGACTCCACTTTTTGAATGTTAATTGAAACCTATTATTCATATGAAACTTCTTTTCTAACACAAAATAGTTATTTTGATGTAATTAATAATGATAATTTATGCAAATTTGATGCGATTTTCAAATAATTATTTTCTTTTGTATTTTATTGTTTTTTATTTCTTATATCTATTATTTTATTTCTAATGTATTCTTTTGTTCTGGAATACATCAAGTTACTTTGAGAAACATATAAAAGCAATTTGATATCAATTCATAGTATTCACATTTCTGCTTGTACATGAATATATGCAATTATAGCATATTTTTTATGACATGCGCATACTAACTGTTATGTAACACCTTACAGGTATATCAGATTTCGACGAAACTGGTATCAAAATGTGCGTAAGACTTGAGGGAAAAAAAGTCATGAAACGACAATTCAAAATTCCAAGCGGTCGCGGCACAATATTTGAAAATGCCTCCCAGGCCCCCCCCCCTCCCCAGTACAGTAAGGGTTAATATTCGAGAAATAGTTGTTTTTATACGCTCTCAGGAAGGTAACAATTGTAACCTTCCCTTGAGCGTATAAAAACAACTATTTCTCTCAAAGCAGTCATTAATACTATAAAAGATTTTAGTTATCAGAATCAGTTTCATATCCCCTTTTGAATGGTTTGAAATGCCATCACATTATATACACTAAACTCATTATAATTTGAGAAATAATAGCTTTGCAATTATGTTCATTCTTTATGGGATGTCGTCTGCTTTAATAGGTAGTAGTATTGGTCCATTATGTGACGTCATTAAAACATCGTTATTTTTCTGGCGAATCTCTCGTATATCCCAGATGCTATGGAGGTGGTTGTATTTATATTTTTATAAATCACCCTATATGCAGTTGACCTTAAATTTGTACGATGGCCATCTGTTAGCTTACCAGTTTCTTTTGATACATTAGTTGACATATTTGTGATTTTCTTTGAATTTCCACTTTAAATAGAACAGAACAAAAGTTACTAAGGGGAAAACACCTGTCATTCTGTAGAGGTGTCGTGGTCGAGTGGATATGTTACCGGACTGTGGATCACAAGTCCCGCCGCGGCACTAGTGTCCTTTAGCAAAACATTAATCAAAATTTGCCACACTTGTTCCAGGTGAGATACATGGGTACCTTGTAGGAATAAATAAAAACAGTTTTACAATTTTTCAATGATTTTGGGAAACTGTTCCCTAACAGGGAGCTGCAGAGACAATCACTCCCCCGTTATCGTTAAGTTTTGGCTTGTGAAGGTTGATAAGAGAAGAGATGTATTGTGGTTAGGCTTAAAGCTAACAGTGTAGTTACTCACTTGGACTGATCTTGACGGGGTTGCTTCTGGTCTGGGCCATTCCTGCACCAGCGAGCGTGGTAATGTTCACCTCAACACCTGGTCCGTCCATCAAACCCATGATCGTTCTCTCCAACTGCAAAGAGTTCCTGTCGAACACATTGATAGGACTGTACGGACCACTGCCATCGTCGTACATGATCTCGTAACCAAAGAGCTGGCTTTCAGGTCGAGACCACTGCAGGGTGACAGAGTCTTCGGTGACCCACGTAAAGACGGCGCACACCAGCTCCAGAGGTACTGTAACAGATATCATAATAATAAAAATAGTAATAATGATAACAGTAATAATAACAATAATAATACTAATGATAAAAATAATAATGATAATAATATCAACAATTATAGTTCTTTGTGTCACATTATGTCTCTATATATGTGCATCGAAAGGACTTTGATATCATTAGCTGGCTTTAGCTCTAGCACTTGCAGTGCTCAGTGTATTCAAGGATGTCATCCAATGCAGGTACCCACTTACCACACCTTGGTTAAGTGTGGCAAATGTGGATTAATATCTTGCAGAAGGATGATATAGTGCAGCGGCAGGGATTTGAACCTTGGACCTGGTGGTTCACAGTACGGAGACTTATCCACTAGACCACAATACCTCTCTAGACATGGAAGGTAATTGGAGCACCAAAAATGTCAAGTCTGACCGACATGAGCGGCATACAAGAACCGACTATTATTGGTAGTAGGCGTGACTAATGTCACTTTCCTCTTGCAGATAAACATGTACATGTACAGAGTATCAAAGGTACACATGTAAATGTATATTGCTTCAAATAGAATAGCAAACTATGATGAATCCTCCTGCAAATGTCATTCATGTGATAATACCCTGCCAAACACAATTATATGTGTGTGTGTGGCGTAATTGGCATACGTGGAACAACGCCCCATGCGCATCGATCTGGTATAAAAGGGTTAAAGAAAAAGGCTGTGTACAGTTGTGGTAAGCCCTCAAAAACCTTTCATCAAATTTCTTTGATTTTAGATAGGGCATCTTCCTCCGTCTTGATGTGTATGCTATACAGCAACATCAAGACAGAGGAAGATGCCCTACGTTTCCAAGAGGAGCTCGACTCGCTCCAACGATGGGAGCGCGATTGGCTGATGGAATTCAACCCACAGAAATGTCAGGTTCTCCATGTCACCAATAAACGCAAACCCATCATCAAATCCTACTCCATCAACGGACAGACCCTAGATGACAAAAATACAGTAAAGTATCTAGGTGTCGAGTTGCAGAAGAACCTCGGCTGGAACCAACACATCAACACTGTCACCAAAAAGGCCAACTCCACTCGTGCCTTTCTTCAAAGGAATATCCGACCATGTCCCAGAAGGTTAAAGTGCTGTGCTACAACACTCTTCTTCAACCAATCATGGAGTACGCCAGCATCATTTTTTTATCTCCATTCAACCTGTATTGATTGATTTTATTAATTCATTTCATATAACAATTGTTTGCACAATAAAGAATATAGTTGACAAAGATCAAAATTATGAAATGAAACAGGAACCTACTGGAAAGCATACCTTTTTTTTGTAGGTTCCCAAGAATAAATATAATATGAACATTATTATCATACATCATTTTACAGTGTCTTAATAATTACAGTAAAATAGATATAATATAATAACATATTTTCGTAAACCATTTTAAAGTACCGGTATCTAAATAATCACACAAAAAAATGCAAGAAGAGAAGAATTACAAAACGGGACACAAAGGACAGGAAAATTACATAAAAAGATAAGACAAGACATGACAAAACAAGTCATAACAGGACAAAATAAACAAGACAGGATGGGACAAGACACTCAAAAGGACATGACAGGACAAAACAAGACAAAAACAAAGCTGCACACAACAGAAGTTAGAAGAAGAGGGAGAGAGGGAGAGAGAGGGAGAGGGAGAGAGAGAGAGAGTGTGAAACAGGGGAGATGTGAGAAGTTTAACCTGTAGGAGACATATATTTTTGTATTAAATTCTTTTTGAACACTCTACTAAAACTATAATATGTGGGTTTATTTCTAACTGGATCTGAAAGAGAGTTCCAAAGTTTTGGACCTGAAAATACAAATGATTTATTTGAGAGCAAAGTTCTTATTTTTGGTAGATGAAAAAGCTCGGCAGACCGAGTAGGATAATGATGAATATTAACATTCTTTGAAAACATTGAATAAAAAACATTTGGCAGTTCATTTATATTTAAATTATACATGAATATTCCCAGATTATAATTGTATAAATCTGTTATCTTTAGGATACTATGTGTGTGAAAAAGTGCATCCGTGTGCGCTCGAAAATCAGAATGACATATAACACGCAGCGCTTTTTTCTGGAGTAATGAAATTCTACTTCAAAGATAGTCAGCACAATTGCCCCAGGCTATAATACCGTAGTTTATTTAAAGTGTGGGAGGATCAACGTTGAATACAGGTTTAATAATATACGAGTTTGAAAGTAAAATCTGACCTTGTTTATAATGCCAATATTTCTTGAAATAACTTTACAAATATTATCTATTGGACCCTCACATGCAAGCAAACATCAAGAAGCTTGAGATGGTTCAACGACGATATGTCCGCTTCATCTTCAAGGACCACCGCAGGACAAGGAGCGTAGCAGCCATGCTGAACCAGCTCAAGTGGCCATCATTATAAGAACCCAGGGCCCAGGCTAAGGTGGTGATGATCTATCGCATCACCAACTCGCTGATAGACATCCCACACACTTCCCTCACCCCATCTACATCCCTGCTCAGAGGGCATTCCAAGAAGATCGTAGTTCCTTTTGCCAGAACGCTGGTCTACCAGAGGAGCTTCTTCCCGGATGCTATAAGACTCTGGAACTTCCTTCCTCAGAACACTGTTAATTGTACCTCTGCTAACACCTTCAAGCAAGAGGTACAAAAGACCCACCTCCGCTAAAAAACGGTAGTTGTTTTTACTCGCACCCAGTTATTGTACCTCTTATCAGAGATTGTACACACATCTGCACTGCACCTCAACAGTACGACAATACACCTGACGGTGGCCTGTACTGCAACTGAAGAAGAAGAAAGAAGAAGAAGATGATTAAATGGCAAGATACTACAAGGAGAATTAAATTTCTTTTTTGATACCAAACATGCCCATTGTACATGAGCTTTAACAACTGACTTACATGTAAACTGTCGAAGAGAGAGAACTTCTCCGGCGCACTGCAACTCAATCTTGATGATGTACTCCTCTCCCGGCATCAGTCCTGAGAAGCTGGCCTTGAGGGAACTTCTGATGACTTTTGAGAACAGCTTAGTGTTGTTGCTTGCCAGGGTGAGGTTGACAATGTAGTCGGTGATTCCTGCAATCTTGGTCCACGTGACTGAGATGGATGTCGAGGTCACCCCTTCCACGTCAATAGTCCCAGGTTCCCTTGGGTCTGTGGGTGCATGGATGGATCACATGATATAAATACTGCATCCTCCGGCATCCAATAAAACAAAATATATGAACCAACAAATTCAGAATTTCCTGGAAGATTTTATATTTCATTAGGCGGCAGACTGAGGCTGACATATAATGGCATGAGGGCAAATTCGCAGTTGGAGGTAAGTATTCATGTTCGCTATATTGAACAACGAAATGCATGCAATTTTGGTTATATACCTTTAATTTTGAGGGTATTTCCAAACTCATTCCTTGTTCCTCTGGTGTCGAACCCTCTCTCAATTTACCTGCCTTCAGGTCAGATGCGCGCAGCTAAGAAATTGCAAACAATATGCATGCACTGAGATATGAGGTGCACAGTCCTATTATTTTTGGAAAATCATAACTTCATCATTTTTTCCCATTCCATTTAAAATTTCACCAGTCCACTTTGTCATTTTTTCTGCTTTCCTGTAGAGTAGTTTGCTATCAAGGTAAGATTTCCTTTTAAAGAGAGTAGTCGTGTTTCCTTAATAGGAGTTTGACGCACTTAGGTGTAATTAACTGGAGGACACATGTTTTTAATCACCCAAAGTGTACTTCACTTTATTGACAGACAGCTCTTAGATATAATTGTGTAGCGTGAACGCCGTTCTAGTCCAGAGCGCATGTTCAGTCAGGTAGACCACACCCCTTGTTCACTTCTCTTTGAATTTCAGATCACACAACCAAATATAGTATATACAAAACTAGATGGAATTTACCTGCACGCAGTCAAAAATGATGCCTCTGCCATAGAGCAATTTTACAAACCTCTGCAAGATACATACGTGACCCAAGTTTGGCAGGAATCCATCGATCGGTTCTTGAGATAACGCGATCACGAGCTATTTTTGTATACATAATGAGCCCTGTGACCTTTGACCTTCGACCTTGTGACCCCGAAATCTAATCAGTTCATTGGCTCTGTTAGATACATACATGACCCAAGTTTGGCAGGAATCCATTGATCGGTTCGTGAGATAACGCGATCACGAGCTATTTTGTATACATAATGAGCCCTTTGACCTTCGACCTCATGACCCCAAAATCTAATCAGTTCATTGGCTCTGTTAGATACATTCATGACCCAAGTTTGGCAGGAATCCATTGATCGGTTCTTGAGATAACGCGATCACGAGCTATTTTTGTATACATAATGAGCCCTTTGACCTTCGACCTCGTGACCCCAAAATCTAATCAGTTCATTGGCTCTGTTAGATACATTAATGACCCAAGTTTAGCAGGAATCCATCGGCCGGTTCTTGAGATAATGCGATCACGAGCTATTTGTGTATACATAATGAGCCCTGTGACCTTTGACCTTCGACCTTGTGACCCCAAAATCTACTCAGTTCATTGGCTCTGTTAGATACATACATGACTCAAGTTTGGCAGGAATCAATCGATCGGTTCTTGAGATAACGCGATCACGAGCTATTTTTGTATACATAATGAGCCCTGTGACCTTCGACCTCGTGACACCAAAATCTAATCAGTTCATTGGCTCTGTTAGATACATACATGATCCAAGTTTGGAGGGAATCCATCAATAGGTTCTTGAGATAATGCGATCACGAGAACGGGACGTATGGACGTACGGACGGACAACCAGAAAACATAATGCCTCCGTCTACTTTGTAGCGGAGGCATAAAAAAGGGATTTTGTTTTTTGGTGTTACATACCTGTAGAGGAATGTATACTCTTACAGAAAATACCCCCAAAATTAACAAATTAAATTCAGGTCATCAGTGAGACACAGATTCTGAAAACGGAGAACAGGCAAATACTTCAAAAACAGCAAAGGAGAGCCTTCATCGTGCAATGCGAAGCAGTGTGTACAAAAGGCATTGGAGAAGTCTGGCAAATTAAGTCACCCTGTTGTTAATAGAATATTTTTTTAAAGAAAAATAGTGTGGCTCAATTAACATCAAAATCCTTGAATGGTTAGTTGGACTGTAGATAACGAGGTTTGGAGTTTGAGTCCAACTTCGATAATAGTGTAATAGTGGGAAAGCAAGATCTACATGAACATTTGCCACTCTCCGACCAGGTGAAGTATAAAATGGGTACCTGGTAGGATTTAATTTACTCCTTGAATGTTTATAGCGCCTTAGGTCAGCTGGGATAAATCTACGGTAATGATAGTACTTAGTAGGTGCCTTGAAAATAAATACAGGTATAAAAAAGAGGTTCACTTTACCAGATTCCCCCCTTGCCTGTTGTACATGATGCCTCGTATTGAGCGATGAGGGCTCTACCTTCCTGCACACTATTCACTGTTTTTGAAGAGTTTACCTATTCTTGGTTTTCCAAAGTTGTGTCTGCCTGACCACGCCATTTGTTGGTAGTTTGTACGTGGCGCTGGGTCACAAACTCACCTATGATGACATTCAGTGTTGAAGGCTCACTATACGTAAATCCGGCTAAGGTGGAGATTGAGGCTAGGAACTCTTCATTTGTGTTGACCTGTATGGTATACTCCTTCCCATAGCGATATATAGCAATAGAGGTGGATGGTGTATACAGATTAAATTGATCAAAGTCTGAGGATGGGCCACTCCAAACAAAAGTGACCTTGTTGTCCAAAATTTCCTTCACTTCAAAGAACAAGACTGGTTCTGGTCCTGCAGGTAAAGAATTTGAAATTTACTTTATAGAAATGCAAATGTTTTGTTTTAGAGTCCCACAATTATGCATATGTGCAGACAAGGGTGCTGTGAAGACTTGGGCATGCTAGCTATCACAATGCTGTCACAATGACAATCAAGCAATATAAGGCACAATTTAAGCTAAAGCCAATTTTCACTTGGAGGAGCTTTTTTAGCTGCTTTCCAAGAAACTGTACTGCATTCCTATGCCAATAAATCAATAGAGTTGGTAGAACAATATGCTGCTATAATATTCACACTGAAGATTACTTTTTCTAGTTTTGGTACGGTAGTATTCCAATAAATTTTGTTAACTGGGGGGGGGGGGGTCAAATTGACCCCCCCTTGTAGTAATTTAGCGACTACTCCAGAACCGCGGCAGATATAAAGCTTTCCTTTCATGACTTTTTTCTTCCGAGTCTTAAGCATCTGACCTGAGTCACGTGACCTTTTGTCTTTGCATGTCGGCCCGAAAATTGCTCATTTTTGTGATTTGTGTACAAAACATATGGAAATAGCATTTTTCCTAAAAAGAGATACAACATTGGTTATTTGGTTATTTGCGGCGATCGGCTGTAAAACAGCAGAGATCTTAGGGGGGGGGGGGGGGTAAAATTGACCCCCCTTAGTAAAAACCTGGTCTGGAATAGCCCAGTTAAAATAGGGTTAACTCGTAGCCTGGCATAAGGCTGATTGCACGCTATCATTATACATTACACTTACAAGCAGCATCATTATAGTGCTTTGTACATGCGAGCAAACCATTGCTTCTCTGCCTTGTGCACGATTGCACGCATTCGTATTAGCAGTTACCGGTATTGTTCATGCTCATTGGACTGTGCTGTGTGTTTCACATTGGCTATTCATAGAACTAACGCGTTAAACAGATTATCTTGAAATAAACTTGGCACAGGGGGGATTTGGGGCTTGGCACAATGGGGATTAGCCCTGTGGCATGATAAGAGTTAAGTCACTATTGTAAGCCCAATCAATAAAAAGTATTAGGTCTTTTTTCTTTTCTCGGTTCCATATCAAATTAAAGAAGATGGATGTGACTACGCCTCTCAAATATCTCAGTCTACAAGTACAGCATGTTCATTGAACAGTTCTCCTAAGAAGTTTTACATCTGACTTCATGAAGTCTTTTCAATTAAAAAAAAAAATGTTATTCAGGTTATTTCAGGTTAAAATAGGTGCAATGGTTCTCAAATTATGGTGGTAACAGAAAGCAGGATGGAAGGACAAACAAACGACTTGAAATCATAATTAATGCCATCTTAATTCCCTGATGCGCTACTCATGGTAATTTAAAAAAAATGACTTTACATCAAGAGCCAAAATTTAATTTCACAATTTACTCACGTGTATAAATAGCGGCGGTATTCAAATTATCTAATTCAGTCATCCCCGTCTTCCTGACCAAAAGAGTAGGGGAGTACTCGGTACCAGCCTTTAAACCAGTCAGTACATATGAAGTCTGAAGAGTGAAGAATAACCTGTCGTCGAGTTGAATGGCATATGTGTCTGTGTCAGGAATCTCTCCCCAGACAAGCCGAATAGAATCGGTTGTCACCTCATCTGAGTAAAGTCGGCCCTTTATAAGAGGACCTGTAGGAATATTGATGAGATGATTGAGAACTGATCAATATTCATATAATGTTGAATGGCCTTGGGGGGGATACAAAGGCATATGGCATTAGCTGGCAAGCATAATTTACCAGTCCGCAAGATGGTTTTTCTCACATACCAGTGTTTTCTCAGAAATTGCGAGGCAACTTCCCATGAACAAGCCCCAAAACCCATCTGTGATATGAATTTATATAAAACGGCAGCAGAAATTCCACCACAGAGCAGCGGCAAGTCGCGCAGGCGCACTACTCACCAAAAAAAAAAAGAACAAACACTTACAGTTTTTATGGGGTTTTCCTTTAAAGGTAAAGACCAGTATTGGTAACGCCCCAATTTCAAAAAATGAAATGGAAGCTCTCATTACCAATCATGTGAAAGACTATGTTTTGACTAATACATGATGAAAAAAAAATTGCCGGGAAACCGCCTACTACTTCATATATTTGGTAAATTTGTTTCTCTCATGGTCCTGTGAGGGATATAGGGTAGTCCCATATACATCTTTCTGTGTATAGTGCTTGTAACTTTACGAAGAATGGGCCAAATTTCTTATCATTTTGATGATTCCAGAACCTTGCAGATGCTAGATGCTAGATGATCAACCTTTTCTGATCGATTCCACAACGTTTCTTTCACAATGCAATCGCATGACCATTACTGGTCTTTACCTTTAATGTAAATGGCAGTAAAAAAAAAGGTAATGGTTTTTAACAATATTTCCTGCCCCCCGTCTATTATTTAGAAAATGGGACCTACTGTTACAAAGTCACGTGACCCTTTTGTCTTTGCATGTCAGCCTGAAAAATGCTAATTTTCGTGATCCGTGTACAAAACAAATGGAAATATCATTTTTTCAAAAAAGAGATAAAACATTGGTTATTTGGTCTTGTTTAAAGTTTAGGTGTTTGTTTAGGGGTCAAAATAGTTGAATCAAAGTTAGAAATGAAAATTAAACGTCAAGCGTAGCATCCCCTACCAGGCTACAAATGGCCTATATACAGTGTGTCTCTAAAAAAAGTAAACCCAACTTCAACGGCAAATTTTCAGAAAACTATAAAATATTTACACATTATTTTTTATGGTTAGATAGTCCAATAAGTCCTCTGTCCAATGATACCACGTAGGTTATGTAACTCTCATGCATGACTGAGCATGATTCAACTTAGTGAATGGGTGTGAAATCATCACTGTGGCAAGTTAGAATTGGACTGGAAGTTCATCAATCAAATGACATAGGAAATGTCTGATTTCTTACAAGCATAGCTTAGGGATGTGTACCCTCGACATGACCGCCATTCCTTTCCATGCAAAGCTCGCAACGCCTCCTCATGTCCCTGATAGCACGCCTGATCATTCCCTGATCTTGTCGTAATCGGTTCACTTCACCTGTTATCTGTTGCCTCAGCTCCTGAATTGTGGCCGGTGGGGTTTGGAACACTTTTCCTTTAAGATACCCCCAAAGAAAGAAATCGCATGGTGTCAGATCTGGTGAACGTGCAGGCCACTCAACTGGGAAATGAAGAGCAATGATGCGATTGCCAAAGAGTTCAGTCAAACGATTCCTCACAGCAATAAGTCTGTGGGCTGGGGCCCCATCCTGAGCCCACCAGGCCCTGCGGAATGCTCCACGTCGTTGTCGGGGGAAGATCTGTTCCATCTCAGGCACAATAAAATTGTTCAGCATGTCAAGGTACGCCCTGCCATTGATGTTGCCTTCAAAAAAGTAAGGTCCCACCAATGAACCATTGCCACAAAGACCAATCCAGACACTCACTTTCTCCCTGCTCATGTTCTTATTAAAAGCATATCCCGGTGGATGATGGAGTTCAGCATACTCGTGCTCATTGTGGGTGTTTACCATTCCATCCATGGAAAACGTTGCTTCATCCCCGATGGTAAAAAACTGGAGGAACTGTCGATCTCGGTTGCACCGGTTCACAAACCATTGTGAAAATTGAAGTCGTCTGGGAAAATCAGCTGGTAGAAGTTGGTGCTGAACATGAACATGATATGGATGGAGATGCAAATCCAGTCTTGCTATTCTGTTAAAAGTTGCGCGTGGTATTCCAGTATCATTTCTCCTGGTGCTTATGCGTGGGTTGGCTTGGATGGCCTCTCTTACCACTTGGATGTTTTCAGCAGACCTCCCAGTTCGTCTGTGGCCAGAGTGTCCTTTATTCCTGTTCAAACTGGTTCCGTGATCAGCATACTTTCTCACATTGTACCAGATGGCTCTTTTTGTTGGAGGCTGCCTCTCGGGGAACTGCACCCGAAAAGCATCTTGAACTTCCACGAAACTTCTTGTTTCCTGGTATCGAGTTACCAGGAATACTCTCTGCTCAATTGTCAACTGTACCATGTTTGGAAAGCATGTGAAGTGTGCCTGTGTTAGGAACCACCTTTGCTGAAGTTGTTATGTAATCATAGGCCTAACATGTGACAAAAATTTAACTTCAAATAGGCCCTGAATGCATGACAATAGCAAGAAATAACTTGCCACAGTGATGATTTGACACCAGTTCACTAAGTTGAATCATGCTCAGTCATGCATGAGCGTCAGATAACCTAAGTGATATAATTGGACAGAGGACTTATTGGACTATCTAACCATGAAAAAATAATGTGTAAATATTTTATAGTTTTCTGAAAATTTGCCGTTGAAGTTGGGTTTACTTTTTTTAGAGACACACTGTACAATGTACGTCAGAACAAGTTACCTCTATGAGACTACACTAGTACACTACTAGGCAAGAAAGTTAACCACATTTTCGCATATATCATTAGGTATTTTTGCATATTTAATGAGCTTTGACCTATCATCTTTTACCTACATACTTCGACATCAAACTTAGGCTGTGTTTTGATACCATGTTCCCTTATATCAAATTTGATTTAAATCTGTCAAACATTACTAAAGTTATCGAACGGAAACCAGATTCGTATATTTAACGAGTTATGACCTTTGACCTACATACTCCAAAATCGAACTTAGGCTGTGTTTTGATACCATGTACCTTCATATCAAATTTCATTAAAATCCGTCAAACATTAGTAAAGTTAT